CATGCCCAGTCCAGTCCAGCCCAGTTCATGGAAATCTATTCTATCCGCTTAAGCAAGGCCACTTCTGCATCAGGGAAGATTGTCACAATGAGAAGAATAGGGACTGACAGAGGCAGCTTTGTGTGAAACGTGAGCTCAATTTCACTGGGGACTGGGTTAGAACTTGTAACGCGAATCGGTGGTGACACATCAGGAAATTGTGTGGTGTGGGGTGGGGGTGGCGGGAGAGATGGGGTGCTGGGGGGGAGGAGGGAGGAGAGGAGATTATAAATTAACTACAATATGTTAGCGGGTGCAGTAACTGCATGGAGTGCTTCAGTTTAGAGTGATAATTGGCGAATCCTCGTCAACACTCGCTCCCAGGTAGACTGATGTGATGTTTTACACTCCTGGTCTTTGTTCCACCCCAACCCAGCGCACAGCACACGCTCAGTGCCACTTTATTACTTGACAACCTAACATATCCCCCAGTTCCAAGCCGACTCTCCTTTGATGCAAACGCAAGGTGTTGACTGTGAAAGAGTGTGCGTGTATTCTTACAACTAAACCATTTGTCTTATTGCACCAAACAGCAACGGAGCAGTGACTCTGATGTAGCTGCTCATTTTTCCATCTGTTCGGAGACCGTTAATTACATTGATTGTAGAGTGATGAATTGTTTAAGAACCTGCCAGGACTCAGGATGTCAATGCACTGCAGTGATCAGCTGCTCATTACACCTTATTTATAGCTGTATCTGCCATTAACATCCAATAAAAGAGATGTGCATGGATTCTGCTGTCTTAAAGGTACAGCTGAATAATGGACTCCCTTGACCTTTATGTGAAAGGATGTCCCTGGCATGAAGTCAGGGCACTAAAAATCCTACAGTAATGCTGTTATTCTAGGCCAGATCTTGTAGTATGCAGCAACATTCATTGTGAAGAATAAGATCACCTCCAAATGATCACTTTCTTTGGGTCAGTCAGAATGTTGTGGGTTCAAGGTCCACGTTGGGACTTTGAGTTCACAGTCTATGCTGACACTCCAACGTAGTGAGGGGGGGGTGGGGGGGGTGCGGAGTGCTGGATAATTATAGGTGCACAAATCATGTTAACATTTGGGTTCAATTATAATAATAATCCTTGCATTTGATATAGCGCCTTATCACATCTTTGAGACGTCTCAAAGCGCTTCACAAGAATATACTGTAAAGTGAATTGACTGTATATTTTGTGGGTGAAACGCAGCAGCCAATTGCACACAGCAGCGTCCCCACAAACAGTTGTGGATTGAGTGACCACATTATTATTATTAATTTGAAGGGTTTATTATCCCCAGAAAAGCGATCCACCAATCAACTAACAACTGGGTTCCTACTTACCGATAGGTAAACAGAGGCGTGTGGAGTAAGGAAACTTGCCTAATGTTTTGCCCTGCCTGGGAATCAAACCTGGTCCTCTGGCTTGTGAGGTGAGGGCTCTAATCACTGAGCTACAGGACTCCACAATGTGTCAGAGTTCACAATTCATGCTTCTTCTTGGCAGCGAGTGCCACGTGAAACAAGTTAACGTCTGAATGGGGTGGCTTAACCTGGCGACTCTGGACTGGAGACAGCTCAGTTCAGCTGGATCGTTTGTGCCATGCTATTAACAACTGGCATCTCTCATCACCGTATCACCTTACATGCAACATGTCAAGACAGCAATTATTTTGTGGGTTCAGCCTTATTTCCGAGCGGCAGAGCAGTGATTGTTTAGTTCAGCTGGTATGGTGTGGAACATTTTTTTTCCCAAACAGCATTATTCTGTGGCTGAAGTCAGTGACGATAAGGTGCTGTTAGGGCTATGACACATACTGACAGGACATCGAGCTGTGGCCAATATTTTGCAAACAATGTTTGTTTCCAGCATCTGCTGGGCTTGGGGCTCAGTTGCAATCCTCACTTGTGTGTTAGCTCGCACTGCCCAGAGGGGTTACTTTGGCTATTGTTTTCGTACATTTTCCAGTAGGGGACCACTTGATACCAATCTTACTGCCAACAGGGATTCTTGCCACACAGCTCCTGTTAACCCTACAAGCCGAAGCCCTAACAGGTAGGGTGGTCCTAGCTGGACAAGCCATTGAAAATGCCAGACAGCATTTTCAATGGCAAGCTATGCAGTTTTAGCTGGTTTAACTCCAGCAGTTACCCCAACCTTGGCTCTTGCCAACAAGCACTGAATACTTTTGCGGAACTGGGGCAAGTAGGGTGCGTCCCTCCACAGAGGGAGTGCACATTTCACTCTAGACGCAAGGAAACTTCCATGTGTAAGTTGCATAGATATGTGGAACTCTTAAGTGTTGCTGGGTTTCTGTATATGCCAAAATAAAAGCAATTTGAGGCAGGATATGTGTAGCTGATATTTTCCCACCACTCCCCAGATCAGATTCTGTGCTGATTAGTTTTGAAGTGAGGGTTAGCAATAAGCAATTGTCCCCAGGGCTAGCACAAGAAAGGGGGAGCGTTGTAAAGGGCATGTTGCGGTTGCGGAGCAACAAGCAACAACAACAACAAATTACATTTACACAGTGCCTCTCCAGCCAGAAGGTCGTCCCAAGGCGTTGGACAGTCAGGGATCCACACCCGAGCTGAGGGTTGGGATCAGGAGGGGTGGATGGAGGGTAGGAGTAAGAGGGTGACTGAAGGCACTGTTGAAGACGAGGGTCTTGAGACGGGTCTCAATGCAGCCAATGAAAGGAGGAATTGAGAGGTTTCGAGGAAGTAAATGTCTCCTTAAAATCAACTGTTCCGCTTTAGCTCTGCTGCATAAATTCAACCTCCATCCTCCAGATTTTAATGTAACATGTTAACGCTTCTGGATATCAGCTTTGCGAATCTATGCTGAAGGGACTCATCACAGTTTAAAAGATTTAAACTGTCTGTGTGTTGGGAACTGATTGAGTTGCATGAAGTTGGCTTTGGTGTAGATGTGAGTTTGATGATATGGAAGCAGGTAGTGCAGCTGATCTATCAAGGGTGTACTTTATGCATGCAGACAAGCTCCCTTTATCTTACTGTAATAAGTATTGCTGTAAGGCAAAACCAAGTCTAGCTCTCAAACAAGGCAGCAGAGAAGAAAGTCTCCTTTCTGTAATAGCTGTTGAGGTTGCTGATTGAAGGTATCTCCCCAGGCTTTGTCAATCTGGTACAATATAAAAATAATCCTTGCATTTGGTATCGAACAGACTATTTACTAAATGCACCAGATGCATCTTTTGATGGAATATCAGCCATTGTTTTTATCATATATCACACTATGCCCTATAACAATAATAATCATTGCATTTGATATACAATACAATATAAAATTACATTTGTATAGCGCCTTTAAGATCCTTATCGTGTATTTGAGACGTCTCAAAGCGCTTCACAGATATATTGAAAGTGTAGTGACTGTATATTTTGTGGGCGAAAAGAAATAATCCTCCAAAAAGAAATAATAACAATAACAATATGGTCAGTCAGTCCATACAGTGTCCTGTATGTAAAGGGTAGTGGAAATCTGCAACTCTTTCCCCCAAAAGACTGTGGATGCTGAATCCATTGAAATTTTCAAGACCAAAATTGATAGATTTTTGTTAGGTCAGGGTGTCAGGGGATATGGAGCAAATCCAAGTAAACTGAGTTGAGGTACATTCTGATAGGATGGATTACTCCTGTTCCTATGTTTTCTGTGAACACCATGCAATTATCAGTTTGAATAGCTTCACAATCTTGGTCCAATAAGGATTATAATAGGAGACTATCCTCCTACCAGTTTTGAATAGTCCTGTGAGATTATGTTTAAATGCACTCCCTTGATTTACTTCCTAATGAAAAGGGAGGGCAGTAAACCATTCGATGCACCAAGTGCTAAAATAGGGTCTGGGAAGGCTACTTTTAATATCAAAGCTTATAAAGTGAAGAAAATCAATATTCTCACTTAGATTTACATTGGCTCTGTGCAACTGTTTGATGATGAATTTTTAATTAAAATTGTTGGACTCCTTGCAGCGATCATTACTCCACTGAAACCAGTGTACGGAGTTAAAGTGTCTTTGATGGAACAGACGCCCAAATGTTATTTTATACCCAATTTTTCAAAGAGGTTGTTTCCTTAGCACTCTCCAGCAAACTGGGCATTCTGTGATCTGATGGTAATTGTATTCCTTGTTATAATCTCTAACCTGATTTGTCACTAGATGTCTGTAGCACTCTCTCACGTCTGAGTCAGAAGGTTGTGGGATCAAGGTCTTTGAGCTCACAGTCTATGCTGACACTCCAACGTAGTGGTGGGGGGGAGTGCTGGATAACCGTAGGTGTAAAAATCATGTTAACATTTGGGTTTAATTCTAATAATAATCCTTGCATTTGATACAGCGCCTTATCACGTCTTCGAGACGTCTCCAGGCGCTTCACAAGAATATACTGTAAAGTGAATTGACTGTATATTTTGTGGGCGAAACCCGGCAGCCAATTGAGCACCGCAGCGTCCCACACACAGTCGCGGATCGAGAAACAAAATAAAAACAACTTCCAAATAACGGCTGGGTTTTATTGCAAATTTATCTTAAATTCAATTCTTCCCTGGTGGAGATGTATTGCTTCCACCAACCTCTGACACTCCATTTGCTGATCCTGTGCAAAATTGCCTTAACCAACAACAAGGGCTCAAATTCAGGAATTTTATCATAACCTGTTGGATCACTTGAATAGAACGACCCCTGATATATTAATGACTGAAATAGAATCCATAATAGCTTTTAAGCGAGAATTAAAAAAGTATTTCATGAAATGACGTTGGACAGCAACAAGGAAGTGGGACTGAATGGGAAGCTCAGATTGCTGACCAAGACATTGACGGAGCTACATAGTGATGTGTTTCTACTTCTATACTGTACCAAAGAAGCTCAAGTGTTTGTTGAAGCATTTTTTTTGGTAGACGGATCACCGACAAGAATCCCGGCCTGTTTTCTAACCTCATGCCATTGCCTTGCAGATCTGGCGGCTGTTGATATTGATCAGTATGACAGCCACACCATTGCTGAAGCACTGAAGCATTACTTACAAGAGTTGCCTTCACCTGTGATTCCACCAGTTATATACAGTGAGCTGGTCTACACTGCCCAAGGTAAAAACACAGCGAGGACGACTGGCGTTGAGCTTGTTACATTGGGACACAATTGCACTGTGTCCCCCCCGAGTCTCAAAGTGATTTCTGCAATGCTCTGACCTGCATTACTGTGACCAATTTATGATGTTATCTCGTTAGTTGCACCACCTTTGCAGCAACTTTGTAAGCTTTTCGCAACTGTGGACTGGAAGACTGAGCCCATATGACAAATACTGACTTAGAATACTTTGATGTTTTACAGTGTTTCATTTCTGATCGTTTGACTTCTTTGCACATAAGTTTGTTCCATCTTGCAACCGAATCTGACAAAGTCAGAGCTCAGGCAATTGTGAATCTCACATAGATTTCAGTCACGTGGGCGGTGCTCCTGGGTTCCACTAAACTGAGCAGCTATTCAGTTATTTTTACTAATTATTTATTTATTTATTTAATTGATTGATTGATTAATTGATTAATTAATTATTAATTGGAAGGATAAGACCACAAGTCGGTCCCCCCTAATTCGCCAGCACAACCTCAATTCACCACCACTGTATCCACACAAACATGGTGTTGCTGTTGAATCGAATCTAAACGCATTTTGAAGCTCTTTGCTTGTTACTCGTGTGGCGTGTGTCGGCCTGGCCCAGTTGGTAGCGCTCTCGCCTCTCGAGTCACAGGATTGGGGGCTCAAGCCCCACGTCAGGTCTTGGAACTAATATAGTCTAAGCTGACATTCCAATGCAGTGCTGGGGATGTGGTGTGCAACATTGTTGGAAGTGCCGTTCTTGAGGTGAGATGTTAAACCGAGGTCCTGTCTTGCCTGTTCAGTTGGACGTTAAAGATCCCATGGGACTACTCCTGGTTAGCAATCCCCCAGATAAACTGGTCATTGACTTCATGGCTGTTTGATGTGCGCAAATTGGCTGAGACTTTTACCTATGAATACACAGTCATGACAATCTAGCCTATATCCTGTGAAGCGCTGTGAGCCAGGATCAGGTGCTGTATCAAATGCAAGGATTGTTATTATTATTATCAGAATGTTAAAACAACTGAAGTGTGTGCGCGATGCTCACCCTATGAGGGTGGCAGTACTGACAGAGATACACGGCTCGCCTCTGTGATTTAGCTTGAAGGAATGGTTGGTTGGGAGCATATCAAAATGAGGGACTGTCGACAGGTATGATGAGGGTTGGGATGAGGTTAAGCACAAGCAGTCTGTGCGGCCCACACAATAGAGCTACTGTAACATCAGTTTTTATTTTGTTTTTATCGCCAGACGCCATCCGGCGTGAAGTGCGCTATATGAAATGCAAGTTGTTGTCGTCGTTGTAGGAGACTTGCTGTAACTGCTCACTGTGTCTTCAGACACAACATTCTTATTAAAAAATCAAACCCGGCGTCTCGAAACCCATGCTAAGAATAATTTATTGTTACTTTTTTAAAAAATAAATTACTGGGTAAGTGATTTACTTATCCCTCCGATCCAATATTCAAGGTACTGATGGATCGCTGTAATACAGTGATTATTTTTCCAATCTCGGACCCTGGTCTGGTCATCTAAACGCTGACACGTGGTAAATGTGTCATTTTCACCCTAATAAAATATTACTGAACTAAGATATCAATCAGCTGTGAGAGATATTAGACCGTGTGTATATAGCCAGTGTTCAGGTTAAGCAGGACAACATTTTGGATATTGCTCCAGAGGAAAAAAGGTGGTGGCGAGGAGAGTAGTGGCTTCACAACGTTCCAAAAACATCAACTGCTTTTATTCCGCAGACAGTTTATTTATGTATTAGAATAAAATAATCCTTACATTTGACATAGCAACTCTCGCATCGAGATCACGTCTCAAAAGGCTTCATAGGATTTACAGCATAGAGTAGTGACTCTGCGTTTTATAGGTGCCTGAAATGAGGAGCCACAAGCACACGTTTCAAAGAAAAAGGAGAAAATAATCTTCCCAACAGGAGCATAAATATTATTTACAAATCCTGACTGGTTTTAAAGGCCTTTTTTTTTCCATCAGCAATTTCACCCCCATCTGTAGTCAGAGGTAAAAACACAGTGACGTTTAGGGCTATTATGGGACACTTGAGGTTCCTTCTGTAACCCTAAGGGCAAAGAAATTACCAATTATATTTCAAATGTTGCACTTAAGATTTGTTCGATTGCACCCCTAGGCTAAGCTCAATAAAAAAAAAGTATGTTTTCGAGCAGAGAAGCTGGGATAGAAACCGTTCATAAAGTCATCGAGCAAGCCTTTGCTGTGTCGTGTCAGAGACAATATTCTTTATTACATTCCAGGCTAATGCTGGTGAAAGGTGTGGCAGACTTTCTGCTAACCGTAGTGACTGTGACGCTCCCAATAAAGAGATGTTCCCGTTGTGATGTTTGCCTGCAAGTACGTAGTCACGTGGAGTCCTGTAGCTCAGTGGTGAGAGCACTCGTCTCGCAAATGAGAGGTCTTGGTTTCGATTCCCGGGCGCTGGGCGAAACGTTGGGCAAGTTTCCTTACTCCACATACCTCTGTTTAGGAACACATTTGCCAGTCGATTGGTGGGGGTAATCGCTTTTCTGTGGGTAATAATCCCTTCAAAACATTTTTAAAAAATAATAATAATAATTTGGTCACTCACTCCACGACTGTTTGTGGGACGCTGGTGCCCATTTCACCCACAAAATATACAGTCAATTTACTTTACAATATATTCTGAGAAGCGCTTTGAGACGTCTCGAAGACGTGATAAGGCACTATATCAAATGCAAGGATTATTATTATTATTATCACATCCTGCCAAGCACTTGGACACGTTTTGATGGTTTGATAAGATGCTAAATCAAATGCAAGGTTTATTATTAATATTCTTATTATTATAAGGGCACATTATCAAAGCAGGAACCAGACAATTTTGCCCACTGTCTCTCATGAATAGCATCCAACAATACTTTTCTTGCTCTGTTGCAGCGATCAGCAGTTAATAATAATAATAAATAATAATAATCCTTGCATTTGATGTAGCGTGTTATCACGTCTACGAGACGCCTCAAAGAGCTTCACAGAATATACTGTAAAGTGAATTGACTGTATGTTTTGTGGGCAAACCAGTTTACCCAATTAACTGGGAAGAATGAGCATTGCAGGAAGTGCAAGAGTGCTGAGGGTGATTGTTGTTCAATCATTTCCTCTCAGCCATTTCCCCACCTTTGAAAAAAATCCAAAGGTGGGCAAATGGTTTCGAGACATCAAAAGAATTGGGATGAAATCTTTAGGGCTTTTCTTCACTCAGCTGAAAGATTATATTGAACTTTTCAAAAGACATGTCCTCAGGGCAGTTCTGCCTTTGTTGGTAAACCCACGCTCCATAATCCTTTTTTTATCAATGCACACATATGAGACTGGGAACTCACGTTACACAGTCTGATTTAACAGCTCCATATTTATTAAATAATTAATGCAAGTCAATGTGGTTCAATTTCCCCAGAAAGTTTTAGACGGGCCTTTTTTTTCCAAATCGTTCATCTGTTTACTTTCCCTTTATGTCTGGGATCTTTCGATCATGGCTTAGGTGTGAAGACGGGATTAAATGATTGGTAGCATAGGTCGTGCGAAGCTCCAAGGTCTGAGCTGCTCTTCTGATATAATATGATTTAGACCGGGGTATGCCTTTTTAAGACGCAGGATTTTAGCTTTTCGGTTGGATCATATGTTGTTGCTCCAGTAAGTTTGTCGCAGTTTATTTGCAACAAGACAACTTTATAATAAGCAGTGTTGTGTAAAAGTCGGGGTGACCTTAATCGTGATGCGATTGCAGTGAGGTTGGGCTCCAGTTTCCTACCCGCACACTGTCTCAGTCGGTATTCAGTGTGGCACTGAGTCATGCAAGGCAGGGCGGTTCCAGTTTAGGATCTGGGGGTGTGAATGGGTTGCACCTCAAAGGAACAACAAAGCTTAGCGCCTCTCCTTGTCTCGTGCCCAGATACATAGAACAATACGGTGTGGGAAAAGGTCGTTCAGCCCAACTAGCCCAAGTGGATGCTTATATTCCACACCCTTCCCGTTCTCCTCTCCTTCACCAAACTATTCCCTTCTCCCTCATCCGTATATCCAACTTGCTCATGCGACCGAGCCTTTAATTTTAACTTGTACTCATCCCCCTCCAAAGAATATTTTCACGCACCGCTCATGCAGGTCAAGCCATCAAGAGTACCACTATCTGTACCCACTGTAAGCTTAGTACGAGCAGTAATATAGACTGACTGTAAACAGAGTTATTTGTGGCAGCTAAGATTACAACTGGGTCTGATTACACTATATAAATGCAGACTGTCCAGTGGGGCTGGCGTGAATGACGAGTAATATTTATCCAGTGAGCAGACCTAACTCACTTGACACTTGAGCAGCAGAGATGCTGGTGCATTGGAGGCAATAAGGTGGATGAGTTGTGTAAATATTGTCTCACGCTGGATCCCGCGGAGTATACTATTTACACACGGAAAAGTACTGAGAAGAGTTGACATTGGGTATCCACACGTGTCTTGGCCTTGCATCAGATTTATTTCAGCCAAAAGGACCATTAGTTAAGCGCATGTAAATGGCGGTGTTCATTCTACATGTTGTTTCCATGTTTGACATTTGTGATAGTACCTTATCGCATTGTCAAAATACCTCAAAGAGCTTCGTAGCATGTCCTGTAAGGTGTACTCTGCATTTAGAGGCGAAGGCAGCATCCAATTTAGACACATATTGTTTGGACCCATTGTGGCCCTGCTTTTAATCCCTTATGTGCCAACCCCATGTCCTTTTGGAACTCTTTGGGTGCTATTGCTCCCAGAAAATCTCGATGTTTCCTGCAGGGGTCTCATTTACGGCTGGAGATAGGCAAAGCTCCTCTTTTTTTGTCCATGAATAACAAACCATCTCTGTGTGGTTCCATTCTAGACAGGTATCGAATTTTATAAAATAGAAATTGAATACCCTGCTCTGTCTATTGGGAGACAGGAATAATTCA